GTCTGTAAATCATGCCAGGGAAAAATAAATCCGCGAACCCACGCGCGTATCGGCCGATACAAGTAAAAAACTCAAATATCGGCCCGATATATCGGCTGGCCGATGTATCGGTCTATCCTTATTACCCAGGGTTCCCACACGTTTTCGTGGACAAAATTTTCAAAAAAATTTTCCGCGCTTTTCAAGGACTCATAACATGATTTTTATTTCGGAAAAGCATGCACATCACTCTTCATTATCACTCAGTGACTTATGGAGAGGGGGTGGGATTAAATAAGTTTATACTTCTTCCCACTCCTTTTCAAATATGTAATCAAAATAACTACGTATTGACAATTGCTTCTAAATATGCCTCTCATTGTCTGTAAATATTACTTTCTTTCTGTCTGTCTACTTGTTTGTATGTTCATGTCTTTTTTACATTTTTGAAATAAATATCAAATCAAACTTAACAGAAAACAAATTTGCCGTTGAGTCACATTATGTGGAAGGTTATTCACAAAAGATTACTGTGAGAATTAATTTCATTACAAACAACAAAATCCCATGGCTTTTCCAGGCCTAGAAAATGAAATTGTGAAATTCCATGACTTTTCCAGGTTTTCCATGAATACGGCAACCCTGATTACCAGATGAATCTTTCTATCAACTAACCACTTAACAAACTAATCATTTCAGCATTACTCCTACCCAGTGACCCTAAATGACTTCACCATCACTTTTCCCAACACAACAGCACAACCGCCAAGCATCACTTTGTGACTTATAAAATGCAAACCTTAAAAATATCTTCCGATAGCTTTCAAACCAAACAACTATATCCTGATAATATCTTTACTGAGGCAAATATCAAGCAGCAATGAAATATGCATTTTTACTGCCATACATTCATATTGCATAGGTCAGTCCCTGCCTTTATTCTCCAACATACACGCAATGATATCTCACATGACGCACACATATGTTCAAGTCACATATCATCCATAGTAGCTACGCAGGGATACCTTTGTACCCTCAGAGGACATTGCATTGTTGTGCATGAAAGACTTAAGTTCTCACATTACTAATGGTGGGACATGCAAGGTTTGAGATGTGATACTGATACATGTCCCATGGGCCTGCGTGACCCGGGAAGTGTCAGGGTAGCCCCCAGGAATGGGAATGAATGGACATTAGCAGCTATGATCTTGAAGGAGAGATCTGACCTCCACTACAGCGCCTGCTTAAGTGTGAGTGGAGAAATAAATAAAGAGCAATGACGGATGGAGTGTAAGTGAAAATGAAGGCACAGGGGACCATATTGACCTTGAGATCTCCTTTTATGTAGGTGACTGTTAACTAAAAATCAAAATAACAGCTCTATCTACAATAAGAATGTATTTTTATTGGAGATAAAAATGGAGAAACGCCTTCCCAGAGGATAACTTTGGCATTTTTTCAACTTAATTTTCATATGTTTTTGCATCTGAGTGACTGATGGAAACAACAATTTTTGAAACTGGTTCAGCGTTGAGAGAGAGCGCTGCAGTGGGCAGTGAAAAAACAGGTTGCAATGTAACCAGTCAGTGCTCCACTCAGTCACTTTATGTCCACTTAAAGTGTACATTTTGTCAGTGTCAGGCTCAGATTGTCAGAAGAGTCTGATATCAATATGGAAAGGATCCCTACAGCGATAGACCTCCTTGTTAAGAATAGTATTCTTTTTGTTCAACCAGAAACAGCCCTGAAATCTCCATCGCCAACACCAACCCGACTCCACTGAATATCATCATTAAACACACTTCATTCAAAGTCGACAGAAACAGAATAAAACTCACAAAAGTTGTTTTGGTTCATCTTTTCACTTTTCCAACAACCACCAACTCTGGATTGGTTGAAATTAACTCTTAATTCACCCAGCTGGTTGTGAAAACATCCTGGCTCAATACATGCTAAAAGGACTGTTGATCTAAATGGAGGTTGGTGGGTTTGGTGATAGTGATTTAAGGCTGTTTCTGTTAAAACAAAAAGGATCTTACTCTTCAATGTAAAGGTCTGTCTCTGTGGTGATCCTTTCTATAATTTTGTCAAACATGTAAATAAATAATCTGAGCCTGTCAGTGGTAAAAACAACCACCTTTAGTGGGCATAAACTCATGATGCACAAATGCCCTGAGTGGCTGCATTGCGGCCTGTTAAGTCGGCCCTCTTACTCAATACTGGACCAATTTCAAAATTTGTTCCAGTAAGTTACTCAGACATAAAAACATGGATAATAAGGCCCAGCTTGAAAAAATACCAAAGTTAACATTCATCTGGTAGTGGTAACACACAACACAGAAAACACATTGGACAGTGTTCATCAGAGATAAGGCAGCTTCAGTGTCTACAACATGGACCAAAGGAGATAAACTGATAGTAATGTAAATCGGTGCATCCTCTGATGGCTGTGCCACATCAAGGGTTCATGTCTAACAGAAGATTATGTTCTAATTCACTACACCAGGAGTGTCAAACATACAGCCAGGCCCGCCAAAAAGTTTAATCTGGCCTACTGGGAGACTTTGCACAACTAATATTGATGCACTCGTGAAGGCTAAGAGGGGCCAGCAAGTTGAACAGTTAGGAGCCTTTTTGCAAAATATTGTCAGTCAGCAGCTTCATAACAAAGAATCTGTATCAGACGTCAATCTTTAAACAATAAGGTCTAACCCTATTGTTAAGGCTGTGTCAAGACTTAAGATTTAGATGGTTTTTAAGGCAGGGGAAGACTTAATCTGCTTCCTCTGTAGCTTTCTCTTTAGTTGGGTGTGGTGATGACAGTATTACCACACAGGAGTGGAAATGTATGGAAAAATGCACATGTAATGACAGTGAGGAACATACTGTAAAGTCAAAAATACTTCTTTACACTAAAAGGAAGTTAAAAAAAATGTAGGCATTGTTATTTACAGGTTATTATGCGATGGTTTTACTGGTCCGGCCCACTTGAGATTAGGTTAGGCTGTATGTGGCCCATGACCTAAAAGGAGTTTGACACCACTGCACTAGACATTTTATATCCAGCATTACTGACAGCAGATACGTCCTCTCTGTATGCACGTTTGTGTCATCCCAAAAAACATCTTGCTAACCCGCAAACCAAACCACCATGAACTCCTTAGTTTCTTGTGGTCATGGTTCACATAGTGAATCACCTACTAGCAGATCACTCAGTCCAGCACTCATTACTGAAAATTAGGACAAAACCTTTTGGCGGATTTTGATTTTAACTCTTCAATTAGGCTGTGAAAATATGTATTAAAAGATCAAAGTCCTAGTGATTTAATTTTTTCTTTAACTTGCAGAGTTCACAAGAAGTTATCTTTAATTTCACAGCAGTTGTAGTGAGTAGCCATTTTTATTTTTCAAAGCTGCTGAGAGTTATCTTAATATTAATCAAAAAAATACTTTTAAAATCAGAATTTTTATTTTGTTTTGATTTAGGGAGGGCTACAGAGTTGATCGGTTATGGTTGAGACACCTGATAGCAATATTATGTAATAAATTTATCAAAAAATAGAACACTTACCAGTACTTGAGCCGCTGTCCTGCCTTTTTGGAAATCAGGAAGTGAGACAGGAGTCCTTAGTATATAGCTAACCCTTTTTGTGCCTGATAAAATTATGTGTTTTTAGAACTCTAACAGCACTGGCAATAAATCTGGGACACATCTTTAAAGGGCCAAAATTTTCACAAAATATATATTCATATAAAACTTAGATGATTATAGCAGTAATTAGTATGTACTGTTAGTTTTAGATGTTTAAGGCTTTTAACACAATTTTAATTGTTTGCAGTTGTGAGTTCTTGTCTGGGATGAGGGTTAAAACAATATAGGCCTACTGCTTTCAGGGTATACCGTGATATATAAGCTGATGGTTATCATACTGTGTATATTTGGTTTTATATGACATTGAAAAAAAAAATGCAACTGGAAGTTGAATGTCCCCTTTATTTTGATTATTTTCTAAGGACAGACTTTTTTTGAACATATATGTCCATTAACAAAACGGTTTCAAGTTTCAATTATAGTAATAAAATATTAATTCAACCAATGAGAAATCTTATGTTTTCATTCTTTTAAGGGTTATTCTGTCTGAAAATAAAATAAATTCTGAAAGACTCTGATATTGTGATATTTTCTGAGATGGTTATTGAACTGTGAAAATCTCATACCGTTGCAAACCTATCTGGGATGAGGGTGTTTTCTGGCACAGGGCAAGTTTAGCAGATCAAAATATGTTAAAATTTTTCATTCATATAAATCCTTTTAAACAACGTTTCACTCCAGAAATGAAATTAGGGTGTTTATATGTAACTTTAAGACTTTTTTGTTTTGTTTTTTTAGGGCAGGGCGTAATTTGTCCCAATTCTCAAGAATGAGTGATCACTGACAGCATTTAGTTGCCCTCTGTCTGAATCTGCATCTGTCTTCATCCCTAAAGACGTCTTACTACCCCACAAACCAAACCACCATGAACTTTTTAGCTTCTTGAGGTCATGATTCATAGAGTGATTCACCTACTAGCAGATCACTCAGTCCAGATCTGTAGCCAAAACACGAAAGTAAAAGTGAAAAGCCAGACATTTAGGAGCCAAGACTTGGCATCGCTGGGTTTAACTTGGTGTGGACAGCTACTCCTACACAATACATGTGTTAACGTTAATGAACGTTAATGAGATAAAACTACACGTCCTGACACCGGAGCGCTCTCCGTGTTTAACGCGCAACATACAGGCGTTAAGCTAGTTCAATAACTTCACCGGGACGAGGCCACTCTGATAAACTTGTTGCTTTCTAAGAGTTTGTTAATCAACGCTAGTTATGTTCGCAGGTTTCATATGACTCACACAAACAGGCAACCAGTGTCTGCAACTACTGGAGCAGATAGCAACCGCGAGCTAAAGGCTAACGTCAGTTGAGAAAAGTAGTTAGCCGGCTAGCATTAGTTCGCTACCGTGAATTGAGTTTTCCTTACCTTTTTCCTGGTTAAAGGATATTATTTCCTCCTCCTTCGGGTTGGAAACTTGGGTTATTATGGACATGTGGTCCATTTAGACGGGTTGTTATTCCTGTTTTGTTTCCCACAATGTTATTCGTACTAGCGCCCTTGCTTCGTTTGCTAGCTACCGTTAGCTAGCTGTTTAAGACGAGGATGACCAGCCAGCCCACAAAGCCAGGCAACCGTCCGGGGCGAAGTGTTGTGGCAGCGGTGGTAGCCAGCCAGCTAGCACGGTGGTGAATGGAGGCCAGTGAATGGCTCTCATTTATGGCAAAATATCATCGCTGCACACAAGTATTTTCAGAGCAACACCCGACAGCGTATGCGGCTGAAAAGAATAAACACAAAAAGCAACCGAGTTGCTAACTAGCTGAAGTTAGCTTGGTGTTAGCGAGTTAGCTAGCTGTGAAGCTCCGATCATCCAAAATGTGAGGCCGTGTCTGGAACAACGCTGAAAACACAAGGAAGCCCGTCGGATCGGTCGTGTCCAAAAACGTGTATCGAAACGAAGTTATTGGGCGTTAAAGTCCACTTTTAAGCAAACAGTTCATATCTGCTGGCCCTACATTCCCCGTGCAACATGGAGGCTTTATGTATTTTGAGTTGCATCTGAAGCGGGGGCACTCGGAGTGGGAGGGGGCGGTTTGTTTCTGTGATGGATTCTCTCAGGCAGGCAGTCTCGCCGCACTACATTGCTCAACCCATGCAGCTGGCTGGACGCGGCTCTCTCAAGCCTCCTTTCCCTCTGTAATTACTGCCGCTCTCACGCAACAAATTATAGCTCTTTATTATCAGCATGGAAAGAATACATTCAGACATAATGCACTTTGTGTGGCGGAATATGGCGAAGCCTGGCTTTGACGTGCTCCTGGGCGAACAGCAGCCCGTCTAATCCAACCAAATAGTTGACGTTTATCCAAAACCCTAGTATGTGCTCTGTCCCCGTGTGTGGCTGATGTTAACAAGCCGAGAGCGCCACCGAGTGTCTGCATAAGGAAAATGCTTCGAGGGTACCCTGCAAAGTGCACTGCCTGCTCGCTCACCAGCCACTTTGTTAGGTACACCTTGCTTGTACCTTGCTGGAAACATTCCTCAGAGATTTTGGTCCATATTGACATGATAGCATCACACAGCTGCTGCAGATTTACCGGCTGCTCATCCATGATGCAACTCTCACGGTCCAACACATCCCAAAGGTGCTCTATTGGATTGAGATCTGGTGACTGTGGAGGCCATTGGAGTACAGTGAACTCACTGTCATGTTCAAGAAACCAGTTTGAGATGATTTGAGCTTTGTGACATGGTGCGTTATCCTGCTGGAAGTAGCCATCAGAAGATGGGTACACTGTGGTCATAAAGGGATGGACATAGTCAGCAACAATTCTCAGGTAGGCTGTGGCTAAGGGGCACTAAGGGGCCCCAAAGTATCTCAAATAAGTATCCCCCACACCATTACACCACCACCAGCCTGAACTGTTGATACAAGGCAGGATGGATCCATGCTTTCATGTTGTTTACACCAAATTCTGACCCTACCATGTGAATGTGGCAGCAGAAATCCAGACTCATCAGACCAGGCAACGTTTTCCAATCTTCTATTGTCCAGTTTTGGTGAGCCTGTGTGAACTGTAGCCTCAGTTTCCTGTTGTTAGCTGACAGGAGTGGCACCTGGTGTGGTCTTCTGCTGCTGTAGCCCATCTGCTTCAAGGTTGGATGTGTTGTTGGTTCAGAGATGGTCTTCTTCTCTGAGTTACTGTTGCCTTTCTATCGTCTTGAACCAGTCTGGCCATTCTCCTCTGACCTCTGGCATCAACAAGGCATTTTCACCCAGAGAACTGCTGCTCTTTGTTTATTTTCTCTTTTTCTGACCATCCTCTGTAAACCCTAGATATTGTTGTGCGTGAAAATCCCAGTAGATCAGCAGTTTCTGAAATACCAGCCTGTCTGGCACCAACAACCATGCCACGTTCAAAGTCACTTAAATCACATTTCTTATCCATTCTGATGCTCAGTTTGAATTTCAGCAGGTCGTCTTGACCATGTCTACATGCCTAGATTCATTGAGTTTCTGCCACATGATTGGCTGATTAGCTATCTGCGTTAACGAGCAGTTGAAACAAGTGTATAAAGTGGCCGGTGAGTGTATATTCAATCACATAAGTTTGCTGTATGTGATTTGTATTAGCCATGATCAGGCCAGCCGTTATGCAAGGGGACAACATTTTCAAAAGTGGAGCCAGGCTATTTGATGAACTGCAGTTTTTGGTACTTCCGCATTGGCTTCATTTTTCAGCCTCAGAAGTGGCTGCTTGGTTGGCACACAGCTTTTTCCTGGCCCTCTAAAATTCACAGAAAGAAAAAAAATGTCTTCCCCTGCACTCATCTTCTAACTTTTTTGGGTAGTATCAAAAGTAAAAACGTGGTCTATGGAGGAAACATAAAACTGTCCCAGTGATGACAATGATTGGGCCAGTTAATTTGGCCTGATTCTGGGGCGTCAGTTATTCCAAGTCTCCGCCAAGTCGGGCAACCGGTTGCGGCTTGACTTATTTTTCCTGCCATGCCAAGTTTGGGCTGACAGTGGGCCAGGTCGTTTTTACTAACAGCCCAGTGATGCCAGTGTCGACAGCTGGAATGGGCCCAGTTTATTTAGCCCGATTCTGGGGCGCCATTTATTATAACTCTGTGGAGCTGGGCAACTGGACGTGGCCCAACATATTTCTTCCGGCATGCCAAGTTTGGGCTGATGCTTAGCCAGGTAATTTTTGATGGCAATGATTGCAGCCAGATTGGGCAAGTTTTTTTGGCCAGATTCTGGGGCATCATTCATTCCAAGTCCAAGCCAAGTTGGGCAACAGGATGCAGCCTGACTTATTTCCTCCATTGTGCCAAATTTGGGCTGATGCTGGGCCAGGTTATTTTTGATAATGGCCCAGTGTGTTACTTCCAGTTATTATAAAAAGGATTCAGCTACATTTTGATTTAAGGTGACAGATTGTAGCTGGCTAACATAATTTCATCACAAAGTTGGATCAAATGTGAGCAGAGTTGGTTGCGCATTGATTTTACAATCGGCTGACACGTGCAAACCAATTGTAAAATCAACAGTTGTAACTGCAAGTGTATTTTGAGGGCTTAAAACTAGTTTTAAATATTTTGAATGGTCAGTGGCAAAAGTAATTTAACATTCTTTCTGATGAATTGCTAAAAAATGTTGTTTGGTTTTGAAAATGGGAAGATATTCCATTAAATGTTTGTTTTATGGTTCTTGTTTGTATTAAATGTGCTAATTGTTTCTATATGTTATTTTAACACTTGGCACAAATGCACAACCTGGTTTTAATAGCAAATTACAGAATTTTAGAAAACACCTGTGTTCATTAAGACATATTGATTCATAGTTGAGACCTTAACCTTTAATTTGCTCCTGGGTGTAACATTAATTATTGCCAGAGAAATACAGTAGAGAAGGAAGAGTGTGCAAGCCAGCCCCGGTCTCCCCTAGGTGCTGCTATTGACTCATGCAAACTGCTTTCCTCCTCATTTCATGTCTTACAGTGCTTCTGCGCTCCAGTAAGGTCTGATGGGCTCGCTGTGGACCACCCCTCACTGCGGTGCAGTAGTGAAGGTTAAATATATCCCCCCCCCCCCCCCCCCCCCCCCCCCCCCCCTCTCCTCCTCCTTTCGTTGAGTCCGCAACATCCTGACTGGCCGAGGCTGGTGATCGCAGGCAGCGGCAGCGGCAAGCCCCCACAAGACGGATGAATTAGAAAACCTGCTGTAACCACCGCCACCCCCTTTTCTTTTATTCATTCTTCTTTTACTGAAGAGTCGGGCTGTAAACACTGCTGCCCTCACCTTGACAGGGTGAAGCGGATACAAGGTTAGTAAAAACAAGTGTTTTTTTGTACATAACGTTAAAGATAAGAGAAAGCAAAAAAAAAAAAAAAATCAATGCAAAAGGCCTGTGTGTTGCGCATGGAGCAGTGAAACAGTAAAGCTGTATTTGTATGCAGGACGCTTTGCTGGGGTCCTGCCTCAGCCATGGTAACATCTTGGCATGGGCAGGACTTCTTAGTTCGACTCCTTTAACTTCAACTCAAAGTGCGCGACACGAGCCTGGCGCGCACACACACCCACACACCCAACCAGGTATTAGTGCGTAATTCTCCGCTGGAAAGTAACTGTCTGTGTGTTTTCCCACTCCGATGCACCATTCTTGGTCATTCCAGTCAGTGCTAATTATTCTGTGAAGTGAGTCCCCAGCGCCTCTCAGATCACATAGCACTGCAGCTGCCCCGCCGTACAGCACACCAACTGCAAGAGCTATAATAGGAAGGAGAGGTAGGGTTGCGCAGCTGACGATGCTGATTCCGAGGAGCCAGAGCTCTGCAGTACTATTTAAGTCACTGCCCTGTCGATCCTGAAATCTTATTAGTAAAATGTCATCTCCTTAAAACACCTCGGTCTGTATCTGTCATGAAGGACCTGTGTTGATGTGTGTTGGCACAGGTTATTACATTTTATTTAAGTACAGGTATTGACTGTTTTCCACAGGGCTATATTGCAAAGGGGAATCTATATGAATGGTGCTGATGACCATGTGAACAGTCAGTAATGCAGTAGTGGTGTATACCTCAAAACCTTGTGTGTTCTGCTCCATTATTAGTCAAATTGTTAGTGTTCAGCCCAACCAGTATTTCTAAAATAACTAAGGTGCATGCTTTCATGCTGACGTCTCAGCCCTAAATAACACTTACAGATTTCCCCCAGAATAATCAATGACATCTGGTTCATTAAACCTTGGTTAACCAGGGTTCCCAGATCCTTCTTAAAATTAATATTAATCTACAATTAAGGCCTTAATTGGTCCCAAAAGGTCTTAAATATATATTTTAAAAATCTTAAAACTTTACATTTTAAAATCTCAAAGTAATTGGTAACATATATGATTTAAAAAAAAAAAAGTACAGAATGCATCTTGTATTAACGTCACACAGATCAGGATAGCAGAACCAGCAACACTTTAATTTGTTTAGCTGTCACCACAGGCGTAGATTTCGGGGGGGCGCAGGGGACACATCTCTCTCAGTTGCTAGAAGATGTGCATTTGTCCCCCTCTGATTAAAACATTAAAGTAGCAAAGGTGGACAAAATGAAAGACTTTTGCACCCCACACAGCGGGCCACCAACGTCATTGAGGCTGATTTATGACGCACAACACTTCTGAAGAGTTTTGCTCGCGGGAAATTAAACAGCAGTGCAACGTTTTTAATTTATGCTACAGCGAAAGGTTTCAGTTGTCTCCATGATAACCAGAGACTGCCTGTGGTTTTTTTTTTACACAACAAGTTTGTTTCTGTTGCATTTAGTAAAGTGTAAATCATTGAGAGAGGCGTATCCCCTGTAACCCCCCCCCCCCCCAAAAAAAATCCACACCTGTGGTGACAGTTAGCTAGCAAGACAGCAGATCTTCTGCTCTGGAAACAAATGTAAGAGTTGTTGGTTCTGCTATCCTGATCTGAAAAAAAAACCCCAAACAGTTTAAAAAATCCAACTTGCCATGTCTGAGCATTTTTAGGATTTTTAAAATATTGATTTAAGACCTTTTAA